ATGTCGACTGAGTGGGAGGAGTTGCAACGATTTCGCAGGGCCAGAGGATGATGACCGGCAACACACAACCACAACTACAAGAGAGAGAGAGAGAGAGAGAAAGGCAGTAAGCAGAATCTCCCTGCGGCTTCGTGGAACGAAGGAGACACGGAAAGTCTCTTGCTGGTCCGACGACACAGAATCTAATCCAGTTTGCAGAGCTTGTTTTCAGGTCAACAGTAGGAAAGTTAGAACCAAAATTGAACAAACTGTGAACTGGTGAAATTTGATACCTGAACAAACTCTGAAGCTAGAAAACAAGCATGTGTTGCAGATTGATTTGCTGTTGCTGAAGGCAATGTCAACCTCACTCTGTTGAGTGAAGGAGTTGCGTTCTGTGAGCAATGGTGCTACAAGAGGCCCTAGAACAGCGACCAGGAAGACTTGTTGTTCTTGCAGCTTCGTGGAAACTGTCTTCACAATGTTTGATTAATTATCTTCATGTCCTTTGGGCTGATTGTACTTGGGCAACCACCCTATACCAGCAGCAGAGATTTGTTTAAGGAATGCCAAGATTTGTTTAAGGAGCAGTTGACCAGAATAAGCCTTTTATTTTACTAGTGATGGTTCTTCTATCCATTCACCTTCCATTCCTCATGTAGGCAACGACATGATTGTTTTTCCAATGGATGAGTTGTCAATTGTTAATTTGCTAGTCCTTTGTTGGTGGTCATGGTTGTCCATGCTCACTTGGTGCATTGTTACCGTTGATTCATATATATTCATATTGTTGGTTATCACAAACTAACAACTAACAAGTGGGCTATGTACATTATACTCCAGGTTCAGAGAATCCAATGATATTATCAAGTTGGAGTAACAATTAACAAGCGGGCTGTTTACAACCAATTATTATTGGAACAAGTGGGCTAGTCCTCAAACCAAAGAAGTCTACGGATTCTATGAGTATGCAGTGTTAAAAATCTGAATCGATGCAGTACTTGACAAACTAGTCATTTCTTTTTTGCCAAAAAAAGAGGAACACTAGATGCCGTAATAAATTAACTGTCACGTAAAATCAAGTCGAACTATGCCAACAAAGAAGCAATAGACATAATTATTGAGTGTACAACCTGTGAGAAGATTGGCCTTTCGCTTCTCTGGAAGAAAGAGAAAAAAGAAAAGAAAAGAAAAGGCACAAGTGCTGAATACCAAATAGCAAATAGCCTGGGCCCAAATACTTCAAGTGTTTCAATCGTATCAGCACGTCTCAGGCTCCCTTGTATTGATTTGATCTTCCTTGAGGCGAGTCACCGTCATGGCAGGCTAGCAGTCCATGTAAGAACTGCCTTGTTTGGCCCCCTTGTATTGATTTGATCTTCTTTGTTTCCTGAATTGTTGTAAGACACTTATTTCTTTTTACGAATAAAATCCCAGTAGGGGACGACCCCTCCTGTTCTCCTAAAAAGAAAAAAAAATTACTATTGTCTAGAAACATTTATAGATTTGCAGAATGGCATTCTTTTGTCTTCTTCTAGATGAACAAAAGGACTTCTTAATTTCAAGAAGAATGGGAGAATGACATACATAAAGTTTTCAGTCAGATAAATAACAATATTGAAAAAGGCATTAGTTGTACCGTTTACAACTAGAGTTGACCCAAAACTACTTTATCTGAAAAATTTGGGCCAAAATGTTTAGTACCTCAAACCAGAAAGCCACCTATCTATATACTCCGTCTTTATTTTAAAAATTAGTAGACGATGTTTAGCACCTCAAACCAGAAAACCACGTATTTCATTTTGTTATGAAAAGACGATGTTTCATCATTACTCTATGCATAACTCATTTTGTGTGATGATACAATATTATAACCATAACTAAATTAAATATTTTCTAATATGAATCTAATGGCATTAATTTTGTATTTGGAAATCACATAATAAGGATACAATTTTACTCAAAGGCTTGTTGTCTTTACAAAGCAACATATGCCTGCTAATTTCAGCCCGTGATCAAGAATTTATTATGTCCAAATCATTCGTTGTTGCAGTATTTAGCTCCTATTTGATTCATAGGACTAGCAATAAGTTAACTAATTTTTACTAGTCTCTAAAGACAGATAAACTAATTATTAGCTCGCTACTTTTGATTCGTGAATTGTAGTCCGTCCAAAGAGAGATGGATAAAAAAAAAAAAAAGATGCCCGACGACTGTCATAGTTCCATGAGCCCTGCATCGAGACAGGCCCTACTGTCAGTCGGATCACGCATGGGCTGTGTCATGTGTTCACAGGACAGCTCAACGGAGTCGTCCTCTTCATCTTCTTCTTTTTAATAAAATCCTCTTCGTCTTTTTCTATTTGGAGACATATATAGGCTGTGTGTTAACTATTAAACCATTGCCTATGTCTTCATGGTATTATTTACAAGACAGTCACGTCATGCAAAATGAAATAAAACATCTATTCTCAATGCAAAGTTTTATTTTACGACCGGCGTTCGAACCGTTCAGATGTGGCTCATCCTCATCCATTCATCTGCTCTCTCTCAGAAAGAAATATATCAACCGTCCTCTGCTCATCCGCCTGTCTCGCATGATTGCGTGGACGCACATCCACGCGCCCCACTCCGCCCTGTCACTCCGCCTTCGACCACCGCGCGCTCGTCGGCTGCCGCGCCATGCCCTTCCCCCCACCGCCTTGCGCCTCATTGTCGGCCGCACCGCGCCCCGTCCTAGTACCTACGTCGCTCGCTCCCTCGCTGCCCTTTCATCCCCCATCGCCGTCGCGCGCACCACTGACCCCGCCATGGCCGCTGGGGCGCACGTGTCGTGGCGCCTCAGGTATTTCTTGGCCGAGCCAAGGGCACCCACAAGCATGGCCTGTGATGGTGGTGCTCGCACGTCGTGGCTCACCGCCGGCTCCCTCCCCTATGTTGCATATGTATGTTTCAAGTGTTTCAGATATTTCAGATGTATGTTGCAATTGTTTCATCTTGATATTACAAAAACAGATCGGGGATGTTGCACATGTTGCAAGTACATGTTGCAATCGAATTTTATCTGGATGTTGCATATGTTTCACACATATGTTGCAACAATATGTTCCAAATGTTTCAACTGTTTCAGTCTTATGTTGCAGCAAATGGTTTCATGTTGCAAGTGTTTTATTTGGATGTTTCGTGTGTTTCACATATGTGTTGCAAGTGCATGTTTCATCTGTTTTCACACGTACGTTGCGTTCAAATATTTTTTCATGTTGCAAATGTTTTACGTTGTTCGGCTGGGAGTGAAGCGGGGGCACTGGGGACCGGCAGATGGGGTGCTGCGGTCTAGGCGCGCTGGGGCGTGCTCGTCATCATCCGCTCATCCTGGCTCTTGAGTGCCGCCCGCGTAGAGAGAGGAGGGGATTAGGGGAAGGACCGGCGAGCGCATAGATTGGGGCAGAGTGCACGCGTGGGGCATGGCGGAGTCGGACAGGAGCGGGCTGCGCGGGTGTCATGACACGTGCGTCCGTCCAAACATTTGGACGATAGCCACGCCTCTTAATTTTATAACTCATATAGAGTTGGTAATCATGCCCTTCCTTCTTCTCCCTTCTTAAAAAGGTTACCATATTATCAATACTACCCTATTAAATAAATATAAATGAAGCTCATATCCTTAGTGCGCCTGCAAAGGACAGTTCTGATGACTGCAATTCGGACACCGGAAAGGACAGTATTGAGCAGAAGCCAGAAGGCAACGTCTGGTTCATGTGTGCGTCGAGTAGTAGTTGCTGACTGATTGACCCGTCACCGTCAGGACAGATTCCCACAACAGCGTCAGGTCAGGCCCCTTCTCCGTATAGCTTCCGCTTGCACAACTACGCGTGGCATTCAACTTCGAGGAAACTGATGCCGAGTTCATTTGTCTGATTTTTCCTAAGGCGGGTCTTATATATTCTGCCGTCCAGAAAAAAAAAACGCAACTACGGGTTGCATGTCGGTAGAAGTAGTTCATCTTTACCAAATTTTTAATGAATACTATTCGCATTTACGACTCCAAAATAATTTATTACTCACTCCATCTCCAAAAGAATACAATTCTGAAATAGTATCATGTTTTAGTATATCACCTTTGACCAATTATAGCTAAAAAGTATACATATTTATATTTATAATATAAAATAAAAATCATTAAATTAATTACGCAATGTATTTTTATAATAAATTAATTTAGATCCATAAATGTGAATATTATTTATTAGAAATTTGGTCAAACATGAAGCACTCAAAGTCAGGGGCGGATCTTAAAGGGGGGGCTCGGGGCTCCAGCCCCCCTACAGCTGGTGCATCAATGGAAATATCGGGAGGGTGAGGGAGAAGAAGAGGTGGATGAAAGAAGAAAAATAGAGAGAGGAAGAAGAAGAGACCAGCCCCCTTCAATCCTTATCTGCATCCGCCACTGCTCAAAGTGACAACAACCCATAGTTGGATTCCTTTAGGGACAGCGGTAGTATGAAAATACATTTCGTAAGTAATCTAATGATATTTATTTGATATCATAAATATTGATATTTTTTATCTATAATTGATCGAACTTAAGATACTAAAGCATAATACTGTGGCAGAATTGCATTCTTTCTTGGACGGAGAGAGTAAGTAAAACTACAGTATTACCGACTCGTCTTGTTGCCAAAAAAAAAAAAAAAGAGAGTCAAAACTCATACCTTGGCAATCACGGTATGAATGTTCTCCTCTCGTCTCATTGTGATGTCTCGTCTCTAGTCCTTCCTTCTATTGAGGCTAGCTAACATGGATGATATTGGTTTCGCTACTGATCCATCCATATGCAGCCAGTGTGCGCCCCTTTCAGGCCTTCTTCGTTTGATCCGAAAACAAGGTGATTGAGGGGGATTTTGACTTACAGGGGATTTATTCTACCTCAATCCCCTCCAATCCCCATTGATTTTGAAATCAAACGTAATAAGCCATCAGATTCAGATGGAGAGCACTGGAGCACATCACATGGAGGCCGCCATGCCCTCAGTAGATGGCGTCCGCCGCCGCCGCATGGAAGCCAAGACGATCGATGTCAAGCAGCTCTTGGGTCAGACTTTGAAGCTCCAGCTGGATCTCTCAGAGACCATAGCCGATGTCAAGGCTATGATTTATGAGCAGGAGGGCACTCACCCGATGCAACAGGTACTGATATTCAGCGGACAGCGGCTCGGCGACGATCACCGTACCTTGGCGGATTATGGCGTCCAGCATGGGCCATCTTCAACTCTCTATCTGGTCAAACTCCTCCCGGTAATTATAATATCGCCACCCTTGCTTTCTTTCCAAGTAAAGCTGCATGTAAAATTTTGTCAATGCAGTTTATCATTTGTTGTTGCTTGTTAGCCGAGAGGTACTTAATGTTGCACGTGCTTCCCATAGGAAACAAACTCTACCGGATCAAGAATTTAACGTTGCATCTTTTTTCGTAATATAACTGGGGAGTAATCACTATTGTTTTTCCCTCTCTAATGGAAATGATTCAAACAAATTACAGTTGACATCAATGGATGCACGCCTTCAAAGGTTCTACCATAAGTCCATCACCTTCATTACTAATACAAGTAGTACTACTAATGTGTACTATAGGAGTATGACACATCTCCATCCGCCAACCTAGTGATAATGGTAGATCTAGACCAAACTGGAGAAGCATTAATGTTTTCTCGTAAGTAGAGCCAACTGATAAGAAAATCTATGATTATTTTAACTCCTAAATAAAAAAGGTAAAGATAGAATTTCAACCGATTCCAATATTTTTTTTTACTCTAAAGATCAAAACACAGGCCGCCTCGTCATCCTTCTCCCTCCTCCCTCGGTCTTCCCCCATGAGCTTCCTCAAAGTTGCTCTAAAATGTCAAAACACAGGAACACGATGATCCTACGTGGCTAGGATAGCACCGATAGCCCAGAACTTCTTGGCCATGAACCCCTTGAACGTCCGAGCTGATGGCGGTGATCCATCAATCATCACCGTTGGTGTGTCCACAAGAAACGCCGTCACAGGCTCATAGCTGGGGTGCTTACATGCTGGTAACAGACAGTGAGAGCTCTCCCTCGAGCTGCTAGGCAAAAACTGTTCTGGCTAAACCGCTAAAGAGAAGGCCATATATCATACTTCAAGAAATATACGAAAATAAGAAAAGATGAAAAGCATATTTTTATATAGCACAAGGGCAACTCTCAGCTAGCCTTTACAACCCCAACCATACAATCTGGATAAACAATAACCATGGTCACAGTCCTCCTAAATTCACATTTTACTATTGCTAATTGGAGACCTCCAACTAAGCCTTCATATTAATTCTCACAAAGATATGATAGGAAAAAAATAAATCTTTAAAATTCTGATAAAAAAAACTCGGGCCATCAATTTAATAGACTTGAAACCTTATTAATAGTAATTCATAATCATGGGACCTATTATGTTTTAAAAGGCTGCCTACATTCTCCATTATGAAAAATAACATAAAGTAGCCTCTTAAATTCGTATTTAAATTACCCATCATACCATTGGCATATTGGATATCGTGTTAGAAAATAAAGAAAGAGAGATCAATGATAAGCAAGTTTACTTCATTACCTGTGCTAAATTTGTTTATGAACTTGTAACTTGTAATGAACTTATGTTTTCTAAGCTTCAATCCCATGCAAAAGCACATGCTTATAGATCGTTATTATCAAATAATTGGAACTGAGCCCTGTATGTCTCTAATCCTTCTATTATCAGCGGGCTGCGGCTGTCGACGAGGGCAGCAGCCACAGCCACGACCAGCAGTCCTCCGGGTCCCAGTCTCAGACTCTAGTGGCCGCTCATGAGGGCAGAAACGAGCAAATGGAGGCGAGCAGCGAGACGGAGGAGCCACCGAGCATGGTGGGTAACCTTAAAAGGATACACGGTCCAGATATTGATTTTGGTTGACTGCAAAAATGCCCATATTTTCTCATTCTGAACATGGCTAAACTTCATTTTTTTTCTTTCTAAAATACATAGGTCGTCAACGACACTGCGCCCCTCGTTGATCAGTTCATCAAGCAGCAGCAGATACGTTGGTCCAAATACTCTGTCAAAGCTCTCGTGTTCGCGATTACTACGTTGGTCACTTATCTGGGTTCAGCATCAACATTATTCTCCACCGGAAACATGGTCTTCAAGATCTCTATTGGAGCCTTCTTCATCGCCGATGCCACGCTCTCAATAATGATGCCACCAAAGATGGGCAGTGCCTTAGTCTACTTCTCATGCTTCCTTCTAGTGTTAGTGTCATACCTTCTACTTGTTTCGTTCAACAAGTACTATGGCTACGCCATCCTACCGGCGCCGCTCCCTATTGTCGCTGCTCTCCTTCAACATAAATTGCTGTCTGGACTGACGAGACAACAAAGGATTAACAGCGAAGGTGATCAGCAGAATGGCGATATCGAGGTATCTGGTCAAGCTCATGACAATGGCGAAGAATATCAAGAGCATTTAGACCATATATTCGAGTTATCAGCTGATATTGTCAACTGTGGCGGCCTCGTCACTGTGGTCTTTGGAAACTCTATGGTAGGGCCAGTCACTGCAGTCGGATTTTTGTTCTTCTATACTATGGCTCTTGGGCTATATCTGATGATGGTCACAACGGTGAGGACTGCGGTTCTTAATCCTCATGCCAGGTACCTGGCCATCCTGCTGAAGGTCCTGCTAGTGATCACGCTTATCACTGCCTTGATCCATGGTGTTCGCCACTAAAATGTTTCAAGTGCTTAGATTAGCGAATAGGCCTACTACTGATTGCTTCTTTTCAGTTAACAAGGCCAATTTTCTGGCATCAATCAAATGCGGCTTATATCGATATACTCTGCTCCATTATTTATTTAAATTATTGTTATTCCTAACAGATACATGATGTTTGCCTACAAGTATATATGTGTTCTTAAGATGATAATTTCAAGACCATGTAGTAGCTAGTCCATACCGAATTGGGTGAGCACAAATCTAAGAATCCCATGCAGCAGGCTGATCAAGATTTGGAACAGTATTCTATGATTCTGTAAGTTAGACATATTTTTTTTCCTATAATGGACAGAAATTTTGGCTTCATCCCCTTTCAAGAAGACGAATCAGTCTAATGTTTTACATTCAGTGCTCAGTAGCACGTACCACGCAAACACTACCGATGTTTGCCAAAGGGTTCCACAACAAAATTCAATTCTATCCATCCATGCGAGGCAAAAAACTGTGTTGCTGGCCATTTCATTGTGTACAGTTGGAGGAGAAGGGGGGGGGGGGGAGCTAACAATAAAAAACTAAAAATCTTACTAGCTGTAGTGCTGTACACAAACAGATATAATAAAAGATCAGTACACTAATCACTAATAGATGAAAGGGAGAAACACAGGAGAGTATGTACCTACGTACTTGATACTTATTTCAGTCACAAAAAAATGTCATTTTTTCCTTTCTGGGGTTACCAATACAAGTCAAGCATTTTAAGCCACATTGCATATTGCTTTTTGTATGCAAAGTTTGGATATCTGATACGTCAGCAGTGGGGACTAAAAGTTCATATTTTGTGACTAAAAGTTATAGTCAAATTTGTGTTGTGGACACTATGTCTAAAACATAACAACGTATACGTGGCTGAAGGAAGCAAGTAATATATATCCATCTTGCACAGTTGCACTAGCAATGTTTACTTACATAGATCCATTAGTCGTGGAAGAACAGTCGGAATATAGCAGCGCCATTGCTGCGATTGACGTTTAGGGAAACACTTCGTCCTTCACGGTGGGCTCGACGCGGCTGCAGTTCTTGGCGTTGTACTTAGTACCCAGGCACCAAGTACTGGCCGGTGCCCAGCAGGCAGAATGGGCAGGCAGGGCAGCCGCAGGCGGCAGATCTGCTGGCTGCGGGCGGCTGCCAACCGAGCGCTAGGCGCGGTCGGTGAGAAGAGGGCCGGCCGTGGGCGGCTGCAGCAGGCAGGCAGGCAGCATTCAGCAGAGGCAGCCGGGCGGGGTCGGGGCAGCCGGGCGTGGTTGCCGGCTGGGCGCTGGAGCGTGGACGCGGAGAGGAGGGGCCGGGGACGGCTGGCCGCGAATGGCTGCCGGCGGGGGGCGCGGTCGGCGGGAGGCAGGTTACGCCGCCGCTTAGAGGAGAGGGCTCGGGGCTTCTCGCCTGTCACAGAGTCACGGGAGACTTTGGCATTTCACCCATCATCAGAAACGAGTTTCGCAGTTTTACCATCCCTCAAAGTGGTTTCGCAATTTTACCATTATGAAACGGATGCAATCCGCTGGAATACACTTTGGTAGTTTGAAGACGCCTCCTTCCATTCCTACCCCTGGCGTACAGAAGAAGAAAGTATCATGCATGTCAGTCAGACAGACAGTGGTTGATCGAGCTAACTCACCATGGCCATGATGGTGATGTCGAGGGAGGAGGTGGTGAAGGGGAGCACATTGGTGTTCATGATGGAGAGGCCGAGGCGCTCGATCTCGGAGAGGGCAGCGATGAGCACCCCCTTGCGGTTCTCGCAGTGGATCTTGACGAGCACCGTGCGGTCAGACACCCGGGCCTCGATCTCCGGCAGCGTGCCGGAAGCGTCGGTGCCCACGAAGTTCTCGTCGTAGGAGGAGCCCTCGTCGTCGTCGGCGGACAGCTGGGACTTCTTGACCAGCACTGCCGCCTCGACCGGGCGCCGCCGGGCCTCATCCTCCAGCCCCTTCACTTGGTCCTGCAGCTGTTTCACGTACTTGATCGCGTCGCCGAGCACCGATGCCTTGTCCATCTGCGAGCGAGAGCAGTCAAATCAGTTAGTTGACCGGACCTGCCTGGCTGGCTGGCTAGTCGCGCGCTCTCGGCGCCTTCGCGGCATGTCTCCATGGATTTAGTTTGGGCGTTCGTGCCTATCTGTTCCTACCTTCTTGAGGCCAGGGACGATCTTGGAGAGGGCGATGAAGCGCTGGCTGAGCTTCTCGCGACGCTTCCGCTCGGCCAAGATGTGGTCCTGGTTCTGCGACGCCGGGCGTGTGGCGGCGGCGGCCGGCGCCTTATTGGCGGCCTCGGCGACCGCGGCGATGTCGTCGTAGGAACGCTTGGCCGGGTGCGGCTGCTGGAACGGCAGTGCGGCGGCGGCGGCGTCCATCACCTCCTGCTTCGGCGCCGAAGTACGCGGCGTTAGGCGCGTGGTGCATCGGCTCCGCCTTGGCGAACGCAGTCGTGGCAACGGCATGACCGCCGAAGGAGAGGATGGTCGGCGAGGAGGAGTCCGCGGGGGAGCCCTGCTCCGTGATGCACGAGTCCCAGCTGGTGTTGACCTTGGCGGCCTTGCGCGGGCGGTGCGGGTGCTCGGCCGCCGCGGGCTGCTGCTGCAGCATCGGCATCGTCGACAGCGCCGCCGCCACGGCGTGGTCCACCTCCCCTGCCCGAACGCCACCGCGATCTGCTGCTCCGTGTACTGCTCCAGCAGCGCGTCTGACTGCCACCGGTGGAAGAAGCTCGGCTCGTCCATCACCTGCGCGCGCAAGCCAAGAAAGCATCAGTATTTGATCTATTCAGATAAAGTAACAGCAGCCAGGGGTAGAAATGGAAGGAGGCGTATTCAAACTACCCAAAGTGTATTCTAGCGGGTTGCATCCGTTTTATAATGGCAAAATTGCGAAACCACTTTGAGGGATGGTAAAACTGCGAAACCCGTTTCTGATAATGGGTGAAATGCCAAAGTCCCGAGTCACGGAGACCACTTAGACGGATGGCAGGCCGAGGCTGGGCCGGAAAAACCACGAGGGGGGCTGTGTTGGGCTACTTTGGAGAGTTACTCTTAGAAGTTTTGGACCATGCCCCGGGCTGCAGCCCCCAAGCCTGGCCCATATCCGCCCGTGGAACATCTTATGAAGTACGAACAGCTCGGGAAAAAAAAATCTAAATCTGTAGGAAGTCTGCTAATTATACATATTCTTCTAGTTTGGAAGTACCGACCACGATAGGCAACTAAAAGCATCTCCTACTCCAAACTGTTGCAATCAAATCAAATCTTCAAGAAAACTAGAAAGAGTATATCAAATTTTCATCAGGATGATTTAAGTACAATGCTAAGTTCGTAACTAAGATAGTCACAAAGAAAATTATAGAGACAATTACCTGTACGCCATTATAAAAGTTCGAAATGATCTACGTGCCATTAAAATTTTGAAAAGTTCTCAAGTACCCTCGCCCGAAGTTTCTTTTACCTACGTGCCACTTTCGTTAGTTTTCCTTGTAACAGCAAGCGGAAAAGACGATTTTGCCCTCAGTTATAGAATGCATCAAAATTTTCATTCTTTCCTCAGGTGCCACTGTAACATCCTGTGATTCAAAAAACTTCACTTTTTTCTCTGTACCATTATGAAAAAAAATCATGGTAACAGTTTGTACGTGTGCATGTGAAAAACTTTAATAATTATAATAAATTCGAAATGCATCTGTAACTTCCTGTGATTCAAAAAACTTCACTTTTTTCTCTGTACCATTATGAAAAAAATCATGGTAACAGCTTGTACGTGTGCATGTGAAAAACATTAATAATTATAATAAATTCGAAATGCATCGATGCATTTCGAATTTATTATAATTATTAAAGTTTTTCCCATTTCGAATTTATTATAATTATTAAAGTTTTTCACATGCACACGTACAAGCTGTTACCATGATTTTTTTCATAATGGTACAGAGAAAAAAGTGAAGTTTTTTGAATCACAGGCTGTTACAGTGGCACCTGAGGAAAGAATGAAAATTTTGATGCATTCTATAACTGAGGGCAAAATCGTCTTTTCCGTGTGCTGTTACAAGAAAAACTAACGAAAGTGGCACGTAGATAAAAAAAACTTTAGACAAGGGTACTGAGGAACTTTTCAAAATTTCAATGGCACGTAGATCATTTCGAACTTTTATAATGGCATACAGGTAAAAGGCCCAAAATTATAACATGGACGCTGAACACCAGGTATGTTCAGAACTACATAGATGATTTTCTCATATTAATACAAGTTCAGTAAGAACTGAAACCATTTCTTGCTTGAAACAAAAGAAATTGAAGCCTTTTACGTTGAGACATTTGCTCCAGAGTTAAGAAAGCGACGCAGATATCTCTGACTCTGTGTGTCCACCAGCAGTAGCACGGCAGACACGCAAATGCCAGGAGAGCTGTGTTCCAAAGAAAATTCCCACCAAGTTAGGCGTTGAAAACGCATGTGCCAAAAGAGCTCTATTATTGCACTTGTGAAAGATTGGATCCGGAGAAACGGCGCCATCACACATACACACCAATAATGGGAGCGAGGAGTAGTAGTACTTGGACTCACCAGTCACCACCTCCTGCTGCTGTTCTTCCTCGTCCTCGTCGTCGCCACCAGCAGCAGCCATACCAACATCACCAACCGATGCTCCTACACCGTGTGGCCGGCTGCCACACCGGTGGGCGGCGGCATGCAGCTCGACCCAGGGAAATCTTGGGTGCTCCAAGTGCCGGGAAACACCCAAAGCGGCCGCGTGTGGGCGCGCACCGGTTGTTCATTCGACGGCCACAGCAACAAATCCTGCCAGACGGGTGACTGCGGCGGCGTGCTGGCATGCAGGAGCAGTGGCCAGCTGCCCTTAACGCGTGCAGAGTTCAGCCTGGGTGGCTTCAACAACACGGATTTCTTCAACATGAACCTCATCGATGGCTTCAATGTGCCCATGGACTTCCTGCCGGTGCCATCCAATGTATCGTCAGGGTGCAGCAGGGGGCAGCGCTGCCCGGCTGACATCACGTCGCAGTGCCCCAATGAGCTCAAGGTGCCTGGGGGTTGCCGCGGCGCTGCGGAGTCTGCAACGGCAGCACGGTAAACAGTAACACGGTGTTCTATGTGCGGATGTGCCCTGACGCCTACAGCTACTCCCTGGATCAAGGTCCGATCATGTATAATTGTCCTTCAGGAACAAACTATCAGATCATTTTATGTCCCCCTGTTGATCTTATATCTTTATCTCCACCTATTCCAAATGGAACAAGTAGCATCACATCCTCCGCAAAATCCAAGAAAGGACGCATATTTGGTTTTGTTCTAGGTGGTTTCTTTTTTGTCACATCCTTCATCCTGTTCATCTTGGTGCGTAGACGACGATTGCAGCGACGCCAAGAGATGCAGGAAGAGGAGGAAGCAGAGTTTGGGAGGCTACCGGGGATGCTCAGAAGGTTCACATTTGAGCAGCTACAAGAAGCAACTGATCAGTTCAGAGAGAAGCTCGGGGAAGGAGGATTTGGGTCTGTTTTCAAAGGACGTTTAGGTGAGGAAGTAATTGCGGTGAAACGGTTGGATAGAGCTGGTCAGGGAAAGAGGGAATTCATGGCAGAGGTTCAGACTATCGGCAGCATTCACCATATCAATCTGGTGAGGGTAATTGGTTTCTGCGCAGAGAAATTGCATAGGCTCTTGGTTTATGAGTACATGCCAAAAGGATCATTGGACCAGTGGATCTTTCACCGGCAAGGCAACAACAGTCCTTGCCTAGATTGGCAAACGCGATGCAAGATTATTGCTCATATAGCTAAGGGCCTCTCTTATCTTCACGAGGACTGCATGAAGAGAGTTGCTCACTTGGATGTAAAACCACAAAACATCCTCTTAGATGACAACTTCAATGCTAAACTTTCTGATTTTGGACTCTGCAAGCTCATTGACCGGGATAAGAGCCAAGTGGTTACTAGAATGAGAGGCACACCTGGATATTTAGCTCCCGAATGGTTGACATCGCACATCACAGAGAAAGCAGATGTCTATAGCTTTGGTGTAGTGGTGATGGAAATCATCAGTGGAAGAAAGAACCTGGACACTTCTCGATCTGAAAACAGCTTTCATCTTATTACCTTACTGGAAGAGAAGTTGAAGAGTGATCAGTTGGTAGATTTGATTGATATGTGTAGTAATAATGACAGTCAAGGACACAAGCAAGAAGCAATTCAGATGGTGAAGCTCGCAATGTGGTGCTTGCAGATTGATTGCAAACGAAGGCCTAAAATGTCTGAGGTCGTAAAAGTCTTGGAAGGCACTATGAGTGCCGAAAATGAAATAGATCATCACTTTGTTGTTACAAATCCAGCAAGCTTTGGTGCTTCAGGAATTGTGGATTTGTCAGCTCCACCTGTAGCCTCAGTTGTGTCAGGCCCAAGGTGACAGACTGAGAGCAATTTATCTGTGTACAGAATTTAGCATTCCTGCCTAGAAAAAAATCTGTTCAGTGATTAAAGCTGTAGAATATCACAATATTGTAAACCAATTGTGTGGTCCACAGTACAAACTTGCTTATTTTAGTTTTGCTAAGCTTTCAATTATTGTGCAATTCTGTTTCTGATTCTTATAGCTAAAACTAATAGCATGCCCTAAAATAGTGTTGTCTAGTCCTTAATGAAACCTCGCATGAAGTGCGGTTTACTATATTGGTTGAAGATGGTAAGTTAGATGGGTCACTCGGGGTGTATTTATAGGGGTAGCTAAGAGGTCAACTGATCCTAAAAAATGGTCGCATCTCTAGAATTCGTTCATGTCATAGTGTAGGTTAGGCAAAACATCAAGAAAAATGTTTACATATCTGATCAAACTGAAGGACCCATAGAATCGGTAACACATACATGATATACCATGTTCAAGTTCAAGGAAACCAAATTACAGAAGGTTTTCCGCAGAATAATACTAAGATCTCAAGACTGCTTCTATCTATTACAAACATACGGAAGATGGATATCAATTTCCCATTCCAACCACAAACGGAGATCTGATCGCAAAGCAAAAGAACTTCCCAAATGACAAATGATAGTTTCTCTGGCAGGTTGGCTCCTCATGAGTTAGCACCGCCCAGAAATCAACGCATATGAGAACAAAGAATAACAAATTCTTAAGCTCATTTTGAGTGCACTCTTCTCAATGGTGACGCCAACCTCTGCCAACTGTCAATGGATATATGAGAACAGAGAATAACAAATCATGAATCCTTCATCTATATTATTTTTCCCAAAATTGAAAAAGTCAGTAGCTAGTTTAGTTGGCAATTTGCCTAGAAAATGCAACATTAGTTCCTTGCCTGAACTCTCTGTTATGCGCATATTTGCTACTTTAGTAACTACATTTGGACCAATTCATGCAATGTGCTACCATAAGACATAAAACAAGCAAGAATAACTATAAAAGATGCGGCCAACCAAAGTATCTACTTCTTGCTAATATGCTATGCTATTATTACTTCTACATGCATATCAGCTTAAAAGAAAGGGAACATTTATTACAGACACTCTAACTTTGTAGTCAACAATAGTCCACAAGTTAGAATAGGTCACTAAGCATGTATCGAAAAATTGAATATATTTTTGTGCGGAATAAACAAATGATGATATAAACTATTGTAATGTATCTATCGAACTGTTACTCCCTCCGTCCCAAAAAGCTTGATGTTCTAGGATTTTTTTTAGACAGATTAGTGGAGGAGAGAAATGACTCTAGTACCCTTGTTTTGTTACAGGAGATTTCTAGGGATGCTACGGTTATAGTTTTCCAAATAAAGTGTGTTCTATGGAGGTATGCAGAAAAAGTGTATGTCCAATATCTAGAACACTCCGTTGTAGACTCCATGTTAATTCCTAGTCAAAAAAGATTAATCCTAGTAATTCTCAAAGAAATCAAAATGATCAGGCCATCAATTATGTAGACTCTGATCACCACTGATAGCAATAGATATTCGATCCATTCTGCTTTCTAAAAAAATTACCACCTCTGCCATTATGAAAGTAAACATAAAGTAACCCTAAGTTCGCATCTAAATTATCCACCTATGCTACTATGAAACACACTAAAATATCCTCTAAATTTACATCGAAATTACCACTTCTGCCATTATACAAAACAATCTAAAATACCCCCTCAAGTCTACATCTAAATAATTAACATATGTTATTATAAAAACTGTTAATATATTAACCCTAACTTGAATTTAACATGCATAGTGTGCTACCATGCAGATCAATTAAATATACGCATGCGCGCATAACAAATATATATTTCGTGTTTCAGCAATTATGAAAAATGTTACCTTATAAAGGCTCATATACCAATAGAACAAACAAATTGTACTCAAATTATATCAATATCCATGAAAATTAGGTAAGTTATTACCTTAGATAAATTTATAATTGCAAGCAGTCAATTTTTAATAAGAATAGTATTGTACATATAATTCTTTGATAAGAAAAATCAACATTTGAGTAGCAGGGGAGGTGTTAATGCTGACTAAAGGTGGCTGTGACCTCTCTTGTCTTTGAGATTTTTTTTGGACAAAACGATTATTAGACTTAAATATCAATATGCACAACAGGTTAGCACTACTAGCTCTCCTATATCTATGTAAACCTCTTCTACCATTGTTGAGCGCAATATATGGTGTAGGCTTAACAACCACATATGTTATCGTAGTAATTAAGAGTGCAATCTATAACCAAATAAAGTACAAAAGTGAGTTTTAATAAAACAGAAAATGACAGTTCAGCAAGGAAATGAGCAACTTAACTCAAGGAAAAAAAATAAAATTGTAGCATCTAATAGAACAACATATGAAAGTCAAAAAGTAGATTGTGACTCAACGAGACATGGGTTGCAATAAGGGTCACCATAACTCAACCTAACGGTTCAATTAAATGCATTGTAGACACACTAAGGTGCAATAGGTGGGGGGATAAAAACTACAAATATATGTGGAAAATAATATAGAGTAATTGATTACTTTATCACAACCGAATATAGATTACAAAGTATCTATAATATGCATATTATGTCGAAAATGACCAGATAGAGAGAGCTCACACAAAGATAATTATTTTTTATTAGTTGTAGGTACCAAATATGAACCTCTAATGCTTATGTCTCCTAAGATTCTAGCATATGCAGGAGCATGGATTGATGTACTATTATGCCAAGAAACAACAATATCAATCAGATGAAAGAAAACTTTACCTCTAGCACTAGAAGCACCAATGCCTTCAATCAATGAATTATTTGCCATATGTTTTTCGTAGTTAGTTTAATGACAACCTTTCTAATGTGGTTAATCTTCATAAGCTCTTCACCACATTCATTTGCTTCACTTTCATGCCTTAGTTTCTCTATGAGCTGCTCTGCAGTATCTTTCAAACTTAATTCCTCAAGGGATAAAAGGAATTCAATTCCATAAGGGAGGCTCTTCAATTCTGGGCAATATGAAAACTCTAACTCAACAAGGCTTCCTAGTGCACCATCTTCAATTTTGACATGGTTCAGTTGTGGAGCACCATATGTCTAGTCGTTGGAGTTTAGGAAAAGATAGTGCAGAGAAGTACAATTCCTTCCCACTATAAGCCTTATCAACTTTTTGAAAGCACAAACCATGTAATACCATGAGGCTCGAAAATGAGTCCTCATCAAGTTTAGAGAATCTCAGATTTAATTGAGAAAGGTTGTTAGGATGTGGCCAGGATGAAAGAATCTGAGGCATCCGTATCTTCTCCAGCTTCCCTATCAGTTCAAGTTTGTAAAGAGTTTTGGGTAAATGGAGTTCTTCCAATGGCAATGCTTCATTTTCATTTGATGTAGTAATTGACAGGTTGCCAAGATCTCTCATATTCATGATAGCACTGCATAATTTCACGGAGTGTTCACTTGTCACACCGCTGATAGAGAATAATCTTAGCTTGGTCAAGGCAGCAACATCACAAAGAGTTTCTAAGCTTGCTGTAACATCTTGCAAAGCTTGTAGCACTACGCCAGATTCTTACTGTAGCAACGGGGGAATTTTTACTGTAGGGGCGGCTGGGGTTGGGGGCGCCCCTACAGTGGGCGTCCTCGGGCCCCAGCAGCCCAGCCGCCCCTACAGATGGCACTGTAGGGGCGGCTGGTAACCTGAGCTGTCCCTACAGTTGGGACTGATCTGTAGGGGCGGCTCAATCACCAGCCACCCATGCAGTGCCCATTTGTAGGGGCGGCTGCCACCAGCCGCCCCTGCTGTTCGACTGTAGGGGCGGCTGAATCACTAGCCGCCCCTACTGATGGCGCACGAATAAATAGCAGCCACCCCTTCTTCCACCTCGGGACACACTCTTCTACAAAAAAGGTTAGGAGGCCTTAGGCTCCTCCTAAAAATTGCTCTACTAAGGGGGAGGTTTTGATCTCAAATCCTTTGGTGGAGAGGCTCTAAAAGGTAAGGAAATGCTTCTCCAACTCTTTATTTGAAGTTTAATTCGTTGGTTAGTGAGTAATTTGATTTTTGGTTTTCTCTCTCTTCCATGGAGTTTGAGCTACTTATGAGTGAAATTGGACCCTAATTTTCACTATACTAGGGTAAATTAAGTAGGGAAGTAAAATTGCACCCTTTGTTAGTACATCTTTGTTGATTTTAGTGTAGTATTAGTGAAGTTTGATGCATGTGTCATGAAACCCTATATCTATATCTAGATCTAGATCTAGGATTTTGTTTTTTTTCAATTTTTTCTTTATTTGACTGGAGTTTGCATGTAGGTGAATGTGTAAGATTTTAATTGTTGCTAATGTGTAAAATATCATCTACTATGGCTACTAATTATCATTTAATATTTATTTTGATTCCTTTCTATAATGTGTGTTTTTAATTAGTTATGGATAAATAGGCCATTAATTAATTATCCTCTACCATGAAATTGGAATGGAGTTTGCATAAAAGGTAGTGGATGAAATATTAAATGTTGCTAATTGTTTTCTTTGAAATTGTTTGTTTGAACCAATTAATTTATATTTTAAAATATCTATGCATTAATAGTCAATTAATTAACTATCCTCTACTACCATGGTGCGTGTCTCAGGTATATACAATTATTTTCGAGTAATATTCTTTCTTTGGTTGTTTTGTTTCTATAAGATGGACTACAGGAACTCTTGGATGTATGGTTCATTAAGACACGACGCTCTTTTCCGTGATGAGGTGGACAAATTCATCAAAGCCGCAGAGAAGCATGCAGCGACGTTGAAAGAGAATAGTGACACGATTATTTGTCCCTGCAAAGATTGCAAGAACCTTATTGCATTTCGAGATGTGAGTACCATCAAAGAACATCTGATTAGGAGAAGATTTGTTCCAGACTATACAGTGTGGATTCATCATGGTGAAACAGTGGTTGTTGATG